CTAGATCAGGGATGGGCAACTTTGATAGTGACGAGGGCCAGCACTTTTTCTCCTTTATACCAAGGGGCTAGATTACTAATCCACATCCACACACCTTTTACACCGTTTTACTCAATTTCCTTTTTATTGAAGAAAATTAAAGTATAACTAATTGAATTTGCTTTTAAAGATTTTATTCACTATAAAACGTGTGCAGTTATGCTAATTCAGAAGGAAAACTTTGTTGTCAGTGGACAGAAATATTAACAAATATACTATATTATAACAAATTATAAACAAGCCAATGTAAACATCTCAATTGCATTGTCTATAAATTTGCAACAAATGTACCGAGGTCCTTTTTTATTAGTGGCCTTTACAGAACATTCTCAAAACAACCTAAGAGGACAGTTAAAAAGGGCTTATTCAAAAAATAGTTATTCCAAATGGTACCATAAAATAACCTGGTATCTGCAGGATTTTTAAAATCAAATTTAAGACCTTTAAATAACTTTTTAAGATCTACACTTCACATTTCAGCCTTTAAACAATTTTTTAAGAAAAGGGATGAGTCAAATGTATCAATTATTATATTAATTTAAATGATTATTATCAATTAATTATTATATTAAATAACATATAAATACAGTATATCTTAGTGTCTTAATTGTTTAGATTTTTATAATGCATTAGCTTTTTGTCGATCCACTGGTTCACATTTAAAAATAGGCTATGTAGCAAAAATAGCAGACGGGCTTATTGAAAAAGCAAATTCGTTCTGCGCCAGCAGGTTTCGCTTTCGGAACTGCACATATAGTGGTTTCCCCGGTAACCGCAGTACACAAAGCTGACCTGCAGCGCTCAAGTTTATTCAGTGAAATCACAGCCTTTTGAAGTTTAATCGTCATATTAATCCATATAGCAATTCTTGTCTTTCCGTCCCCAAAGACCTCTTATAATTTAGACTTTTTGTACCATTTAAGAGTTTGCATGGCCTTAAATGTAAACAGTTTAACTGAAGACATTTAAGGACCCGCAGAAACCCTAAGAACATAGTCCAGTGCAAACATTT